AGGCCACTGATTGCATTCATGAGGCATTGAGAGTAATACTTGTCATGTTTATATGGACAAGAAGATTTTAGAAGGCAAACAAATTAGTAAGACAGCAACATCTGAGGGTCAGTCACCAGAAATGTGAGACAGCATGTATGCTGTCACCCTGCAATGGTCGTTCCGACAGTTGTTTTCCTCTGCCAGTTAAAGTTAGTTGCTTTACCACTACACATTTTGACATAAAAGTTACTATGAACTTTAAAAGGGGCTGGGAATATAGCTCAGTGGCAGAACCCTTGCCCAGCATGTAGGAGTTCCTAGGTTTGATTCCCAACACCAGGAAGGGAAAAAAAGAAAAGGAAAGAAAAGAAAGAATAAACAGGCCCATGGAATCAACTATAGATCAAGAGTTACACATAAGTCAGTCCATCTTTGTAAACTAACAAAGATGATCAAAGATATTTCTACATATCTAGCTACTCAATCCCCGAAATGCCAGTGTCTTCCCTTTCTACAAATAGTCCAGCCTTCAGAAACTCATGTCTAGACAAAAACTTTAAGAACACAGTGTCACTCCTGGTTATTATTTTATTTCTACCACAATGTTGCATATAGTAGGCCTTCAACAAACACTTATTAAATACATTAGTGAATAAAATCATTTTCTCCCAAGAAGTATGTTTCAGAATCAGTTCAATTAGGATGTTTTTGATGTCATGAACAGAAAAATCAAATGAAAATTTGTTTATGGGGGAAAAAGAGAGGTCCTCTTATAACCGAATAACCCAGGATGGGTCTGGCTTCAGGTGAGGCTTGATCTAGTGCTCAAACAAGGACCTGATTCTTAATCTTTACCTCTCAACTCTAACCCTTCAGTGTGGAATTCATTTCGAGGGAGGTGTGGCTTGTTCAGTGTTCAGCATAGGAAACAGAAACCACTATAAGTGCATTAAGTGGAAAGATATGATAGAAAATCAACGCTTACATGATTGTTGGAAGGGCTGCATAGAAATCAGGAAAGTTCCACTGTGGCTGCCACCCACAATGCAGGACCCTGCCATTGCCACTGCCTCTCTACTGCTGTCATCATGGATGCTCCAAATCTTTGGAAACTTGACAAGGAAACCTGGGGTCCAGCTCCTGAAAAAGTACCTGAGTGTGATACCTTGCTAGTTAGTTCGTCCTGCCCCAGAAGGATGCTCCTTTCCTTCCTCCCATCTCTTAAAACATGCACCGCTGCTCATCACTTATGTTCAGATCCCAAATTACACCCTGAGCTTTTACTCCACAGAAATCTGGAAAATCTCATTTTAACCTTCTGAAAGGAAGGGGATGTTAATAAAAGCTGGAAAAAATTGACATCCACTCATTGTACCAATGGTCTTTTAAGCAAAGAACAAAATCACACCTCTGCTGAATAGAACCATTCCCTCCTTCAAACAAAAATATGTGCATTCCGTCCCTTAACTCTTTATGTCCACCTTCTAGTTTAGACATGGCCCCACCTTAAAACACTTTCTATTTATAAAAGTACCCATTACCAACAAACATCACATAGAAGTAAAGGGAGAGACAATGAAAAGATACAAACTTTTCATCCAGAAGGGTGCAAGCCCTAAGCAGTCCTGCCTGTGTTAGGAGATTTCCATTAACAGTTATTGCTAACCATGGACTTACCATGAGGAAGCCCAGAGGAACTCCTAGTTTGAAGACATACTCTTCCCTGGGTCCATTGTATAGCTGCAATGCTATTTGCCCTTGGTAAGTGGCATCAAATGCCCCAGCAAGTCAACAACCCCCTTATTTTCTTGATGGCACAAGGAAACTGCAAGGTCTGGATAAAAGTTCAAGTTCTCTGCAAAGAATTATGTGTCCTCTGGTGAAAAGGTCATGGATCAGGGGCACTCATTTTACAATGTATGATTAGGTTGAACTGTGAACAACAACCCCTCCACTTCTGCTATTTCCTGGGCCTGTGTATTCTGGCCAGGAAGAAAGAGCAAGCTGGTTTAGAGCATACACTGAACCTGGGACAACCTGCCATGTGTTGTCTCCTTCCTGGGCTGTAACTGAGTCGTCAGTACTCCATCCTCCATGCTTCAAGGCCAGATGCTTTGGGGGCAATGGTGTTCATGATGAACATCGAATCCATGGTAGTTAGGGTGCTCTCTCACTTCTTTTTGTGTAGAATAGGCTCCTCAGTTGAGGACACCATCCATGGAGATGAACAAGGCCTTTAGGATGTGCCAGCAGAGACAGACAAGAAGGAAAGGCAAAATGAGTAAATGTTTACTCCAAAGAATAAGTGGAATAAGTAAGTGTTTTACACCAAACAGGGAAAAATCCCGGTTCCCTCCATGATGGAAGGGCCCTCATTTTAACCAGTCAGGTGCCAAATGACAGGGAATGGAGAATGTACCTGGAAACTGGGGGCTCAGCGCAGGTCTGTGTGGTTGGAGCACATCGGTTCACTCATATTTCTGCTGTCATAGCCTCTTTGTTTTGAGAGGAGTCCTGGAGTTGCTGGGGAAAGAGTGGCAGAGACGTTCTCTTGCTCACCTGTCTTTTAAAAGCTTCAGTGACAGAGGGTGCCTTTGGTGGACATTCACAAGGGAACCCAATATACTCAGGTCTGTCATTCTAAGTGGTTCACCAGCATCATTTCCCCGATCTGCTTATCACCAGCTCTCTCATTTATCCCTTCCAAATCTCTGAACACCCTGCTAAATTAGCCGCTGGCTCTGTACAAGTCACCGAAGGAGGGGCCTGTGAATTTTCTGGGAGGCTAAAAAATGGTTAGGTGGTGAGTGACTAGGTTGTGTGTTAAGCTGTTCCAGTATTCCTGATGAAATTTTTGATTTCATTGTCTGTATTACTTGGCATTAAATTTTAGTTAATGTGAACCACCACTGAGCTCAGTTTGTAGCAAACCAACTGATCACAGCCATTCCCAACTGCTGGAGCAGCATGTCTACTTTCTTCATGTCATCTGTGCAGTCACCTCCATGCCTATTTCCTGGGTTTCTGTTGATGAAATGAGTGAAATGCCTTCATTGTGTGAACTCACTCCTCTCTGTTAGACCTTGGTCATATCCTCTTTGGGGCATGTTACATCTGATTCTAGTTGTAGGAGTGGAGGCAGCGGTAGGGAGGGGCACATGGGGAATCAGCCCCTCCTTGCTGGTGACTGTGGGTTCTTCAAGCTGAGCTGTGCCGGCTTGAAGAACAATGGTGGAAGTCCTGTGGAGCCAGCAGAATTTGGGAGAGCAACAGTACTACGATTCATTCAAATCCACCCGAATTCCCAGGGTTTCATGCTTTCCCAGTCAATCCCCTTCATGTTCACTGAGGAGACCTTGGAAGGCTGCAAATTAAATTTAGATTGTAATTCTGCTATCTGCAGCATCGACTCTGAACTGACTTTTGCAACATCAGCCCTGAAGCTACAGAAATAGAGGTTCTTCTGGGGGCTATCATAAAATTTGTGGCCTCAGATCATACCTGAGCTTGTCATTCTTTTTCTTCTTAAGCTGTTGGGCAGTTCAGAACCTCCAAATGTCAGAAAACTTGTCCCTGTTACTGCCAGTGTTGCTACCACAGCCACCCCACATTCAGAGCTGACAAATGAATTGCAAATGTCACAGAAAGATGGCTCCGCCTCTTGTGCTCTTGTGTACCTTTCTTCTTTTCTTTCCTTCCTTCCTTCTTTCTTTCTTGACAATACTGGGGTTTGAACTCAGGGCCTCACACCTGCTAGGCAGGCACTCTACCACTTGAGCCACTTGCCAGCCCTGTTTTGTGTTGGGCGTTTTCGAGACAGAGTCTCAGAACTATTTCCTGGGGCTGGCTTGGAACCATGGTCCTCTTGTTCTCTGCCTGAGTAGATAGGATCACAAGCTTGGGCCACCAGTGCCTGGCTCCTGTGTACCTTCTAAACCTCCCACCCCAGCTTCACATTTAGGGAAGCTAAACCACACTCAGGATCCAAGCTGCAAGGAAACTGTAGATTTGGTATACTGATGTCCCATAGTACAGGGATCATAAAGAAGAGACATGCAAGTGGACTGAGGCACAATATTTAAAGTGTATTTGAGGTCTGTCTTGGGACCTTCTCTCTCCCTCCCCCTAGCTCAGGTGTTGAGAGTACAAGCTCCTGGATCTAATCCAGCTCCTCTTTTTATTAGCTGTGTTACTTATTTCTCTGGGCGTGAGGTCCCTGTTTCCTCATCTGTTGAGTGAGGTGGTAGTGGACTTCGGCTCACAGTACTGGTCTGAGGCTCTGCACATTCAACAGCTATGATGCAAGATAAATGCTGAATACTGTTCAAGCCCGGTGCCAATGAGCTAGTGCGACTGTGTCACAGTTCTTCAGGTGAGTAGCATATTGCCTCAATCCAGGATCCCCGGTACTGACCATTGACAGGAAACTCCAGAAGGCCCCACAGGAAGCAGGTGGCCCTCCTTACCTGTTGGGCTGCCCTGGTAGTTGGTACAAGCTGGTGAGTACCTGTTCATATCTAGATGACTGGGAACGGATTGAAGGGAGATTCCTTTAGTCCCCAGGCCAATTTTGTAAAGGTGGTTGTGGCCCAGCTGCAACGTGGCAAGGAAAGAGGGGGCCTTTGAGGCTTCCGGGCCTGGTCTTCAACTGCATCCTGGCTTTGCTACCTTCTGTGGCAGTACCTCGCGCCACAGAATTCAATTATTCAGAGGATCTCGTAATACCCACCTCCCCTGTCCATCCCAAATGCTGGCTTTGAAGAGTAAATGGGATCAGGGATCCCGAAGCCGAGGCTCTTCCTCTCCTCGCGCCGGGCCTTCCCCGCCGCGGGGCCCGCACTGCCCGGAAGCGGGAGGGTGCGGATCTTGGGGGCCGCGGGGGTGGGCCGGGGTGTGACTCTTGCGCGCTCCTGATCCGTGCGCGCTGGGCGGAGAGTGATCGAGTGACCGCCGGGAAGGCGGAGTCCGCCGAGAAAGCGAAACCGAGAGCGAACTGCGGGAACCCGCCTGGGCTCTAGAGCCCAAAAGCAGCTGCGCGGGGACGCGGGGGACCTGGGCCGGCCCGCTGCTGCAGCTCGGGTGAGCGACCCGTGCCGGATCTGGGGAAGGAACCTGGAACGCGGTAAGAACAGAAGTACTTTATTATCAGAACAAATCGTCCCCCGGGCAGCCACAGGGGGCGGGGGTCTAGTTGGGAATCTAGCAGGCCCTGTGACTGCACTGACAGGCGGGAAATTTGGAGGCCTCTATCAGCCTGAGATGGGCTAATTAATACCCAGCTAAAAGTCTCCAGCCTGGAGGTGAGCCGTGGTTTACCAGGTGCCCGGTCCTGCCCCCCTGCACCCTACTCCTCTTCACCTGAGCGTTCCTCTAGCTCTGAACCCCCCTGCTCTGACCTGCCCCTGAGCTTGGTCTCCTCAGAATCCTGGAAACGTGGAGGCCCCTTGTGCCACGCGTCCCGCCCCCACTGCCCACCACACCGCTGCTTCTGGAGCACAGCCAAGCACCCTCCTGCCTCTGGGCCTTTGCATGGCCTGTTTCCTCTTCTGGAGAGCGTTTCCCCTAGACACTTGCACAGGCAAATCCCTCCCTCTGTCTTCTCTCTTCCAATGCCAGCATATCCGAGCTTTCCCTGAACAACCCGCATATAAAAGAAATCCAACTACTTACCATCCTGTGACTCTTAAAAATGAGTGTTTCTCTGCTACTAAGCTCACAAGAACAGAGTTTTGTTCACCAGTATAAGAATCCTCCCCCGTATGCACATATGAATAATAAAAGAAAAATGAAAAAAAAAAAAAAAGAATCCTCCCCCTCCTACCCCCCCCGCCCCGCCCCGCGCCAGCACCTAGAACACAATAGGTGCTCATTGTACATTTCATGCTCCTTTTAGGTTCAGAATAATGAAACATCTTATTGCCCATATTTTCTTAGTACTGAGAACATCTTGACAGATGGAAACTGAAAGATACATCTTTTGCGAGGTGCGGTGGCTCTCACCTGGAATTCTAGCTTCTCGGTTGGAGGACAGCATGGGTAAAAAGTTAGTGAGACCCCCATCTTAATCAGTGAAAGCTGGGCGAGGTGCCAGTGCTCGTCATTCCAGCTATGTGGGAAGTGTAAATAGGAGGTTGGCCTGGCTGGCCTGGGAATAAATGCAGACCCTGTTCCGAATAATAGCTAAGGTAAAAAGGGGCTAAGGTAAAAACGGGCGGGGCATGACTCAAGTGGTAAAGTGTTTTTGCTGTTACTTAGAATCTTGGGCAGATTATGCTCTTGCTTTTCAGTTTATTCTTCAACTTGCGTGTTTGAAGAGCCCAAACACTTGACTTTTGTTTATTAGTCAGATACTAGTTGAATACATGTTACATGTGAATTAGGTTCTGAAAGGGTCTCAGCCTTGGGAACCCCAGTGTGCTGGAAGAGGAGGATGCAACGGCCAAAGCATCTGCAGGATAGGAATAAGAAGAGCAACTAACACTTGTTAGTGGTTATGGTGGAGCTTTTCTTAGGAGAATGACTAAGACATGGAACCTGTTTCCCAAACAGCTCACCCATTCCTTTACAGAGCATTCAGGGCCTGGGGATGTGGCTCAGGTGGTAGAGCGCTTGTCTAGCATCCAAAACAAAACAAACACCTTCTCATCAGCAGTCAGGGCTATGGTGAAGGTTGGGCACTGTTGAGTGGCAGGGCCGGGGAGGGAGTACTCACTGGCCTCCAGCATCAAAGAAGGCTGTGTCCATGTTGATAGTCAGTGGAAATTGACCAGTAGAAAGAGGATGCAAAAATCACATTTCAAGTTTAGAGAAAAACAGGTGACAATTCATGGGGTCAGTGATCTGGAGATGCTTTTGTATTCATTCATTTATTCATTCATTCTTGAGCCCCTGTTATGATCCTGGTGCCTTCCTTCTTGTAATTCATGATCTGTTTTGGAAGACAATTAAGTGCACAATTGTAGTAAAGAAACAAGAGCTGTGAAGGTGTCTGGGATTTGAGCTGAGATTTGTAGGAAGTAGGAGCAGATCAGTCAAGGACATTTCAGAAGGGGGAGGGTTAGGCAGAGGTCATGGAGCATTCGGGAAACTGGGGTTGGAGGATACTTTTGAGAGCTATCATTGTTTCAGTGAAATTTAAAGTCACAACCCTGAAGGGTCACAACCCTGAAGGGGATCACCAAGAGAATAAGGGTAAGTAGAGAGAGAATGTTTAAGGTCTGGGCCCTTGGACACTATAGCATTTAGAGAAAGGAGGATGAAGAGGAACCAGGAAAGAAGACAGAAGAGTAACTTATGAGGAAGGATGAAAACTAGGAGAGTAGGTGTTTTAGAAGTTTAAGTTAAGATGGGGAAGAGGAAGAAGTGAATGAGCAACTATATCAAGTGCTGGTGATAGGCCAAGTAGATGAGGACTAAGAATTGACTGCTGGATGTAGCCACGGCTTTTTTTTTTTTTTTTTTTCCTCTTCTTCCCCTAAGGGTTGAACTCAGAGCTTCCTGCTTTGTAGGCAAGTGCTCCACTTACTGCTTGAGCCATACCTCAGCCCTTTTGCTCTGGTTATTTTGGAGAGAGGGTCTCACTTTTTGCCCAGGCTGACTTGGACCAGATCCTTCTATTTTGTTATCCACCAGTGGCTTGAATGACAGGCTTACACCACCATGCTCAGCTGTTGATTGAGATGGGCTTTCCAGGCTGCCTGGAACCATGATCTTCTGAATTTCAGCCTCCCAAGTAGCTAAGATTTACAGATGTGAGCCACCAGCGCAGGCTTGGATTGATGTTTTTAAATGATCACAGTGTGACTTTTGTTTAAAAAGGGAAAAAAAAGGAGAACTGGGGTATGGCTCAACTGATAGAGCACTTGCTTAGCAAGTGAAAGCCCTGCGTTCAATCTCTAGTACCACTGAAAATAAATAAATAATAAAAATAAAAAATTTTACAAAAGAAAGTTACAGATGTTAATGAGGATGTAGAGAAACTGGAATACTTGCATTGTGGGTGGAGACATGAAGCAGTGTAGGTACTTTGGAAAACAATTTGGCAGTTTCTTAAAAAGCTAAACATAGAGTTACTATATGATTCAGTTTGACTTTTAGGTTTCTGCCTGAAAGCTGGAGTTTAAACAGATATTTTTGCACCAGTTTTCATAACACAATAATCAAAGGTTGAAATTACATGTGTCCACCAATAGATGAATGGATAATCAAATTATCCATATAAATCAAATTTATACAATGGAATAAATTCTTACACATGCTAGTACCTGGATGAACCTTGAAGATATTATGCAAAGTGAAATTACCAGACATAAAAAAGATAAATATTTTTATCTTTTTTATCTTTTTTATCTTTTTTATCTTTCTAAGGTAACTAAAATAGGTAAATTCAGAGAGATAGAAAGTAGAATAGAAGTTACCAGGGCTGTGGGAAGAGGGATATGGGATCATTGTTTAATGACAATTTCTTTTTGGTACAATGAAAAGTGTTCCGGAAGTGGATGGTGGTGATGGCTGTACAACATTGTGACTTATACACAGAAGTGGTTAAAAGAATAAATTTCTTATTATATATGTGTATTAGTTTGTTTTCTACCACTGCAACAAAATATATGTGATTATTAACTTATCAAGAAAAAAGGTTTGTATTGGCTCACAGTTATGGAGATTCCAGTCCAAGATTGATTGGCCCTATTCCTTTGGACCTGTCACAAGGCAGCACATCATAGGAGTACATGGCAGAGCCATGAAACAAAGAAACAAAAGATGGGAAGAGACTGAGGTCTCACAATCCCATTAAAAGTCATTCCCTCAATGACCTAAAAACCTCCCATAAGGCCTTATCTCCTAAATGTTCACCACCTCGCAATAATACTACCCCTGGGACCAAGCCTTTAATAGATGGATCTTTGGGGGACACTATTCCAAAAGCATAGCATTGTATTTTTTCTTATAACTTAAAAAAAAAAAAAAACCTCAAAGATCACAATGGCTGCAAGGTAGAAAGGAATTGAAGTTACCAGAGGAGCTACTTCAGGTTCTTGAAGTAGCCCAGGAGTGAGACAGTGATGGCTTTAATCAGGATAGTGGCTGTAGACATCATTGAGAAGCAGACAGATTTTGGTGACAGGACTTAGTTATGGATTGGGAGGTAGGAGAGGAAACTCAAGGATGCCTCCTAGGTTCATGGCTTTCAGACATGGATAGATGGAGGAGTTATTTTCTGAGAAAGGAAACTCCAAACCAGCTTAGGGGAAGATCATAAAGGCAGTTTGGATATTTTGAGTTTAAAGTTCATTCAGGTTGTTCAAATGGAGCTGTTGGAGAAATCTGAAACTCAAAGAGAGGTTTTGTAAGAGATACGTGAATTTTAGCGTTAATAACGTAGATGATCCTTGAATCATAGACATGAAAGAAATCACCTGAGAAAACAGTTAAAGCGTGAAGAGTCTTTGGGCCAGGCTAGCATTTAAAGCCTACGAAGATAAAGGAGTACTGGAAAGAAAGGCCAGAGAAGAGAGAACATCACTAAGCTTTGGTGATTTAAAATAAGAGGTCAATAGAGTCTGCTTTGGGGTCTTAGGATTTATGTGGGTCTGAGATGAGTCATATGAAGAAGAGCCTCCCCACACCCACGTCTCATAATCAAGATTAGGAAAATCAGATGCAATGCATTCCGTCAGTGTCGCTCAATCAGACATCTTTTCTATTGTAGGTTACTGGAAGGAAAAATGGCCAGTCGTCCACCAGGTTTCTTCATAGAAGAACTTAATAAATACCGCCAGAAGCATGGAGTAGTACTTAAGTATCAAGAACTGCCTGCAGACGGACCTGCACATTCCTTAAGGCATGTCACTGTCATAAAAGATATGTTCCAGGGGCAGAGAGTATAGCGCTATACATGTAGACATGTTGCTTAGCATGCATGAGGTCCTGACTTCAGTCTCCATCTCCCAGTTCTCCCCAAAAAAAGGATATTTGCCCTAAAAATGTGAACTAGGGGAATGACAACTCTGGCACAGTTTGGAGATCAGTACTTTAGCCCTATGGCAAAGTTGCCAAAGAGTTCTGTGAGAGTCCTCTTGACATAAAATGGTAACCTTGGATGACTCCACTTTTATTATTCTTTTTTGGCAGTACTGGGGTTTGAACTCAGGGCTTCATGTTACTAAGCAGGTGCTTTACCACTTGAGCCACTCTGCCAGCTCAGATGATGAAAGAGAGAGAGGGAAGAAGAGGGGGGAAGGGAGGGAGGGAGGGGAGAGAGAGAGAGAGAGAGAGAGAGAGAGAGAGAGAGAGAGAGAGAGAGAGAGAGAGAAAGGGAAGGAGGAAGGGAGGGAGGGAGAGAGAGAGAAAAGAAAGAAAGAAAGAAAATAAAGGAAGGAAGGGGGCTGGTGGAGTGGCTCAAGCGGTAGAGCACCTGCCTAGCAAGCATGAGGCCCTGAGTTCAAACCCCAATGCCACCCAAAAGAAAAAAAATAAAAAATAAAGGAAGGAAGGAAGGAAGGAAGGAAGGAAGGAAGGGAGGGAGGGGTGGCTCAAGTGATAGAGGGCCTGTCAAGCAAGCTATAAGCATAAAGCCCTGAGTTTGAACCCCAGTACTGCCAAAAAATAATAATGGTAGTAGCAATAAGCTTCATCAGGCTTCAAGATGTGCTGTTTTGCTGTTTGGGATGGCTGTTTAAATTTTGTATCGAACATAGGTTCAAACCTTGAAAGATAGTCATGGGAGGCAGTGATCTTTACACAATACGTGAGTTGTATAATGTTTTGTAAATACTGTGTTTGTAATCAGGTTTACATTTCAAGTTATAATAGATGAAAGAGAATTCCCAAAAGCCGAAGGTAGATCGAAGCAGGAAGCAAAGAACGCTGCAGCTGAATTAGCTGTTGATATACTCAACAAAGAAAACAAGGTAGGTGCCTGCCTTTTCTTTTCTTACTAAAAGCAGATCTAATAATAGTTTGTATTTCTCTCTGTGGAAAAAAAATATCCCCATGCAGAATAAAGGCATTCACACATTCCTTGACATTTCTGAGGTTAATCTTTGCCCTGTCTCCATTTCTGTAGAACCCTGAGTACGATTACATCCAGGAAACCATGGGCAAAGCTGGATAATACTTGGTTGAAGGTGAATAGATGTGGAAAGCTGAGGAATGTTCTGTGAGAAATGAGCTGACAGGCTGTGGGAGGAGTCCCCTCCACTTACCTGCGGAAATGTGATGCAAAGTGCCAGAGAAAAGATGGTACTAGGGAGGGCAGACAATAGGTTACCAACATCAATGGAACCAGTGTCCCTGAAGATGCAAACACAGCAAATAGTACAGAAAAAAATCTGTCTGGGGGCTGAGAGTGTGGCTCAGAGGTCGACCATGTGCTTATCATGCAAGAGGCCCTGGGTTTAATCCCCAGCACCAAACAAACAAAACTATCTGAAGAGATTTCAGCAGAAAATTTTTTCGGAATAAAGAGAGACTCGATTAAAACAACTCAATAGATACAGGAAAATTGAGCACCACCACCAACCACAATGATCCTTTTGAAGGTGCTGAGCCCCAGGGAAGAAGGAAGAGTTCTACAAACATCTAGGCAGAAGAAAAGTGCATAAAAGTGAAAAAAGTTCCCTGCTGTCCACCACAACATTCAAAACCAGGAGACAGTGGGGCATGGGTTATAAAATGAGATGTGACATCATTTACATGTAAGACAATAGGAAATCATTCTCAGATACAGGAAAATTTTTGTTTTAAGATATTTTCCTGGACAGCATAATAAAACCCACCAAACACTGTTTGAGCAGTGGGGAAGGAGGAATGGAAACAGTGGAAGGGATGAACTTCTTCAAGGTACACTGTATGCATGCATAGAATGTCACAATGACGTCTCCTTGTATTATTAATGTATGTTAATTCAAAGATAAAATTTAAAAAGATACATTCCGGAAAAATCTTACTTGAAGATGTCCTCCTAATCAAAATTGAAAGTAATCAAGCAAAATCAATAGCTCACAAATCATTAATAAGCTAGAAAACTGAGTCAAGAAATTAGAAAAAAATTAGAGTATTCGCCCTTTAAAAAGCAGAAGACTATAGCAATGGCAGAAATTAATGCAAAAGAAACAAAAATAATAAGGATTAATAAAACCAAAAGCTAGTTCTTGATAAAATTAATGAAGTAGAAGAATTTGGACCAGGTTTTTTCTGATTGAGAAGAACAGAAGGTACAGATCACAAGAACAGGAATGATGCTATCCTGTTCAACATTTCCAGTAAGGGTGACCTAGGATATGACTTGACTTTAATTTCTGTTAACCTGTGTTTTGAGAAGTAGAAAGGATCCAGCAAGCTAGAAAGTGTTATAGTACTTTGCATGGAAAAACAAGAAAATGGACTAGTGTTTTTTCTAAATGAAACTATAAAAGGAAAATGGGTTAATTAATGTATTGTATATTTGCAAATTGCTAAGAGAGTAGATTTTAAGTACCCTCACCATGAAAAAGAAAACATAAGTATGTAAGGTGACACTTATGTTAACTATCTCCATGTAGCCATTTCATCATGCCTACATATTTGAAAATGTCATGTCGTGTACCATAAATATATGTAACTTTTATTTGTCAATTAAAAATTTTTTAATTAAGAAAAGAATTTTTCCATGTGGATTTTTTTCTGGCAGAGAGAGGTACATAATTATGCTTTTAATAAGGTAATACAATTGGGAAATAAATAAGATCTAGGTTGTCTTCACATTGCTCATTTAGAATTTTATCAGAAAAACAAAGGGTTAAATCTTTGTTGTCCTTTCTGTTAAACAAGTTGTTTTCTTTGTAGGAAGTTGGTTCTTTGTCACTGACAACAGATACTTCTGAAGGATCGACACTTGGGAATTACATAGGCCTCGTCAATAGGATTGCACAGAAAGAAAATCTATCGGTATCCTTTGAACAGTGTGCACCCAGGAGTCCGGGGGCCCAAAGGTGAGATATGATTTGGCTTTTCCTTCTATTTAATTATATTTAAATAGTTATTAATTAATCATGTATAATTTTCAAACTATTTTGAAAAATATTTGTCCTGCCTTTTTTGTATATTCTACATGACTTAAAACCAATCGGATATTTTTACTATGTTTGGCAGTACTGGGGTTTGAACTCAGGGTCTCGCAGTTGTTAGGCAGGCACTCCACTGCTTGAGCCACACCTTCAGCCCTGGTTTGCTTTTAGTTATGGGCTCTTATGTATTAGCCAGCAGCAAGCCTCAGATGTGATCCTTTCACCTATGGCCTCCCATGTAGTTGGGATCATAAGTGTGTGCTGCCCTGCCTGGTTTATTGGTTGAGATGAGGTTTCATTAACTTTTTGCCTGGACTGGCCTCAAACCTTGATCCTCCTTATCACTGCCTTCTGAGTAGCTGGGATTATAGGCATAGACATCTTTTTTATTAAAATGCTTAATTGCTGAAACTGTGAGTTCTATTTGTTCAATCAAATGTGGGCAATTCTTTACAGCAGTTTTGCTTTCTGCAGTTTGAATTCCCTCTGGTCAGTGCAAAGAAAAAGGGTGAGCACAGTACAAGAAGATATTTCGAAGCTGGGGGAGGAGGCCCAGTCCTGTAATCCCAGCTATTTGTGTGGTGGAGGAGGGAGGATCTTGGTCAAGCTTCACTGGGCAAAATGACACACTATCTCCCTGAAGGCCACAATACTGAAACCTCATAGCTTCTCCTGTATAAGCCCCACTTTCCCTGCTGGCTTTTTCTTTCCCACTTGAGCAACTCTGAAAAATTCCCTGGATCTCTCTCTTTTCTCTATCTAAATCTTTTGATTTTGGGGGAAATTTAAAAAGTCATCACTTGGTATGAGATCTTTTGACGAAGCAACAAAGAATGAGAAGTTGCCTGGAAAATGCAAACTGAGATCTCAGCCCACCCTGGCTATTCAGACAAGTTGGCCTGCCATTGTACTGAAGGTTTAAATGATATAATATGAAATATAAATCTAGCGGTAAATTAGTGTTACTTTAAGGCCTTTATTAATATGTGATTTTTTTTCAAATCATATGTTAGATTCACTGTGTTTTTGATATTTGGATGAATACTCTGTCATTTTTCCTAGATTTAATTATAAATGCAAAATTGGAGAGAAAGAATATGGTGTTGGTTCAGGACCTACGAAACAAGATGCAAAGCAATTGGCTGCTAAACTTACGTATCTTCAGAAGAAATGTGAAGAAAGCATAGTGGTAGGTATTGCCAGTAGGTTTGCTTTTTATTATTTATTTATTTATTTGCAGTCTTGGGGTTTGAACTCAAGACCTTGGTAGGCAGGCACTCTACTGCTTGAGCTAAGCCCCCAACCCTATTTTGGGGTAGTGGTGGTTATTTTTGAGATAGGCTCTTACTTTATGCTTGGGTCATCCTGAACTGTGATACTCCCATTAAAGCTTCCCACAGAGTTGGGATGATAGCCCTACTGTGCCTAGTCATTGGTTGAGGTTGGGGGTCTCATGAACCTTTTGCCTGGGCTGGCTTCGAATGCAATCCTCCTAGTCTCTGCCTCCTGAGTAGCTAGGATGACAGGCTTAAACCTCCACACTAGCTAAGTTTGATATTTTAAAATTCTCTCTGAAGTTGGTTTGAGGTGAGACTGCATAGTGCCAAGATGGCCAATCACATAGTGAATAATTCCTCCACTCTGTGTCCCACCAATGAGCTGTGAGCCATGGACAGATGGATAAAAGTTCTGACAAAATCTCAGGCTTGTTATTAAAATTCAAATTGAACAGCCATAAAAATATATTCATCTTGTAATTGTTTATGACTGTGAATTTGGTAAATACAGGGAAAAATGTGGTAGTGAGCACTCAGAGGCCAGCCACTGGGGAGAAGAAAGTTAGTTGCATTTAAACCTACTAATGGCTGTTTCCTTTTTCAGAGAACTGACTCAGGATCCTCTGGTTGTTTTACTGCTGCATCCGCTAACTCCTCAAGCATGCCTTCAACAAGGATATTGTAAGTTTGGGCAAACAAATGTGATATTTGATATATTCCAGTTGTTGCCTGGGAGTGTGGCTCAGAAGTAGAGCACCTACCTGCTTAGTGTGTTTGAGGCCCTGGGTTCAGTCCCAGCACTACAAAAAACAAAGACAGTTTCTTTATAATTGAAAGAGTACATTTTATGAAAACAATTGATGCTTAAAGAGAATTTTAGAAAGAAGTTACTAATAAAAATTGACCAAATTCAGAAACTAATAGTAATTTGTTTTTCTTCTAGTGATTCTAAATCATCATGTGAAAGTGACTTGTCAGCAAGTGCATCACAAAGCTGTCATTACAGTTACAGTGAAAACGGTTCTTCTGCATCATCTTCTATGGTATCCTATTAGTCTCTGAGCTTTCTACTTAATCTTATTTCTTTGTTTAAAAGTGACCTTCATGGTCAGGTATGGTGGCTCATGTCTGAAATCCTAGCTACTTGGGAGGCAGAGATTGGGAGGACTGATGTTCAAGGTTAGCCTGGGCAAAAGTTAGTAAAATCCGCACCTCAACAAATAAGTTGGACATGGTGGTACTTATCTGTAATCACAGCTACGTGGGAGATGAAGGATGATCAGGTTCAAAGCCAGCCCAGGTGAAAAGCTCAAAACTACCTGAAAAAAAAAAAAAAAAAGAAAACAAACTAAAACAAAAAAGGGCAGAGGCATAGTTCAAGTGATAGAGCACTTGCCTAGGAAGCATAAGGCCCTGGGTTCAAACCCCAGTTCTGCTCTCACCAATGCCTTTCACTATTCTATCATAATTTCATATTTTATCCCATGTACTCATATTAAGTAATGATATACAGCAGTCTTTGACACCCTCTTCATTAACCTCCATTCTTAACATGAGAAATCTTTCATACTGTACTCTCATCCTTCTGGGCTCACCTCGTATTTTTTATTTCTTCCTTCCTTCCTTCCTTCCTTCCTTCCTTCCTTCCTTCCTTCCTTCCTTCCTTCCTTCCTTCCTTCCTTCCTTCCTCCCTCCCTCCCCTCCTCCAGCAAGATGATTAGCTGGGTGCTGTGGTATGTACCTATAATCCCAGTGCTCTGGAGGCTAAGGCAGGAGGATGGCAGGTTCTGGGCCAATTGGATTACATCACACACTCAAGATCAGCCTGGGATACACAGAGAAAACCTGTCTAAAAAACAAAAATAAAACAAGTTGGGCTGGTGGAGTGGCTCAAGTGATAGAGTGCCTGCCTGGCAAGCCTAACAAGCACGAGACCCTGAGTTCAAGCCCTAGTACCACCAAAAAAAAAAAAGGAACAGTTGATTACTTTAATCATCTGAAATGATTTCCCATTTTGTTTTGTTATAGAATGGTCTCAGAAACAATCAAAAGAAGTCAAAAATGTGAGTATCATGCATCAAACATATTTTGAGTCAAGTTTTTATTCCACACTTAGGTTATCAGTCTTATTTATTGGCTTCAGTATTTGTAGAATATTATAAATGCTTATTTGAGCATATTCTTTCTTTTCAGAAGTAGAAAGCTTGAAATCTATAAGCAATTTTAATGTGTAGAGAAACCTTTAACTACATGCACATGTATATTGTAGACATATGGCCCTATGGTGATGTTGCTAGATTAATTAGTTTAGGGTGTTATTTTGGATGAGGCTGATGAGGAAGTGGGTTTGGGGAGGGGTTTTCAAAGGAAATGTATTATTTTTCAAACAGGTGAGGCAATAACTTGAGTTTTTTTTTTAAAAGATCAAATATATAAATTATGGTGAACTGGTTTCTTTAAATGAAGAGAAAAGCAAAGCTATAAATATAGTCAGAGATGAGTGTGAGATGGCGGCAGGTCCCATAACGAACCACCAATGTGTTCCAAACAGTGGAGAGACATACTGAAGAAGGAGGACAACTCCTGATTGGGTGTTTGGATGGAGAGAAAATTGGTCTGCAGCTGTGGCCATGGGGAGAGGGGAGGAGAGTTTGTGAGAAAAAATAAAGGAAGAGTAGCTAGAACTTGAGGGAATGGAGTATAGTAATGGGTGACAGGAGGGCAAGAAGGAAGGGTGTGAAGATGGCTCCATTTTGGATGAAAAACAGACAAGAATCATGGTACTGACTCGAGGGCTTAGAGTGAGTCAGTGCCATGACTCATATTTAGATATGTTTAGTTTAGGTGCTGTTTGAACTTCCGATTGCAGGTAGCTCACCACCAGTGAGGAATAAGGGGCATAGGAAGGGAACCCCGAGATGTACTTCCTGAGGTTCTAAGTCTGGAAAAAGAAAAGGAAAGGCTAGTACATGCCATCACTGAATGTGTTAAGGTGAAAAGGGGAAGGAACCAATATAGGGCTAAAAAAATCATTAGAGGACAGAGAATCAAAGAAAATGAACACTTGCTGCCTATTATTCTAATAGTTGGCATGAAATAAAAAAGCCCAGTGAAGGCATAAAACTGCTTTAAATGAGTTAAATCTGATTTCAGTTTAATTCAACTTTTGCATCCTTGTCTTAATTTTAGAAGTTTGGCACCTAGATTTGATCCTCCTGTTGTAGAAGGAAATGAGTATACTGTGAACAGCAGGTAAGAGGGAACTGTGAGGCACAGGGCTGGTGGAGTGGCTCAAGTGGTAGAGTACCTGCCTGGCAAGTGCAAGACCCTGAGTTCAAACTCGGGTATAGCCAAGAAAAAGGAACTGTGCAGTAGAATTTGTTAGGGTTGTTCATACAACAGCTTCTTAAAGGCCTGTTGTAAGGTTATATGATATTTCTACCTGACAATTTAATAGTTGCAGCACCACCGGCTCCACAAATAATCATTGCCTTTTGGAGAAGTAAGGTTTAGATAAATCTAAATGGAAGGTGGTAAATACAGATCTCTGACATCCATTAACATTTTTGATATTGAAAGCACATATGCCTATAAGCCAGCGACTAAAAACAAAAAGTACTTTTGTGGGAAACAGAATAGGTTCACTTGGATCTGTTTTTGTTTTGTTTTGTTTTTGCTTTTTTCTAGCTCCATGTGAGATTTCACTTGAAAAAAGGGCTCCTCTGCTGTAGGTGATGTGTTTGGATTTAAATTAAACACCTAGGTGGAGATATAGCTCAGTGGTTGAGTGTTTGCCTATCGTGCACAAGGCCCTGGGTTTGATCCCCAGTACCACAAAAAATTAAAAATAAAAAAATTAATTAATTAAACACCTAAAATGAAGGAGGCCTGTAGTAGGGCGTTTAATACAAGATAAAGAAAAAATAAAGAAGCAGTAAAATATTTATTAAGCACCTTTTTTGTCTTATTTTATTTTCCTTTATTAAGCACCTAATGTATACCTGACAGTATGCTGGGCATTGGCTTTGCAGTAGGAACTAACAGATCCAGTTCCTTCTCTCGGGGTTTTGAGGGGATGACCGACAAGAACTAAATAATTACATTAAGAAGTCTGTACATAGAATCTCTGTAAGCCTGGGCTACAGCCCTGGGCCTCTTTTGTAGACAGTTAGGCTAGACATGACTTGCTTCTGAAAATGTTGCCCTTCCCTTTCTGCCTTGCTGTCAACTTCTGCTTTCTTGGGGCTTCTCACTGTCTAGGTAACACAAGTCTTAGTCTTGCTGAACCTTGGGTAGTAACCCTTCTGCTTGGGCCTGAAGGTGAGCATGTGGTTTCTGGAGCCCATCTATGGTGGCTAGGGGTGGCCTGGGCAACAGGTAGTCACATTTGGCTACCTCACAGGTCTCTGGTAAAGCCTGTAGACACTGGCTGGAGGTAGGGGTACTGCTAGACTGTCTGGGGAATCTCAGAATTCTCTCTTCTTGTTAGTGGACTGAACTATAGGATAGTCATACTTAATTTTTCCAATAGACAAGGGAGCTAAAGGTTCCTGCAGGCTTGGGCTGCAGTCTAGCTCTAGCTCTCAGGGGACCTGGCTTCCCACACACCAGTAGCCTCACTTCCCTCCCCCAGGGCTGTGTAGCTAGCAGCCTTCCAATGCATTCCAGCCTGCCTCTGAGATGATATTGGCTTGTTTGCCCCCAAGTGCTGGACCAAAGGCAGGTCTCAGAGCTGGTTTGTCCTCTCAGCAACTGGGGATGGTGCCAGTGGGAGGGGGAAGGACAGAAGGAAAGGGTGTGGGAGGGAGAATGTGGTAGAAATATTATGTACTCATGTATGAAAATGGAAAAATGAGGCCTGTTGAAACTGTCCCAAGAATGGAGGAAGGAGGATAAAGGAGAATGATGGAGGAGGTGAATTCGACTTTGGTATGTTGTAAGAACTTTTGTAAATGTCACAATGTACCCCCAGTACAATAATTTTTAAAAAGATTTAAAAAACAGAGGTCTGTAATTGCAAAATATAGTACTGCTCTAAAGGAAACACATGATAAGTCATGGAAATGGAACTCTTGGGTTGAGCGTGGAAGGAAAGAAAGGCTTCTCTGAGGTCATATTTATGGAGGGGAGGCTGAAGGTTGTGTTGGCACAGAAAGATGGAGGAAAGGAAGAGCAAGTGAGAAGGCAAAGGTGGAAAAATTTATGAGTGAGAGGCAGACAGAAGGCTGTGTGCTTGGAGTACATTGAGCAAAGACATAGTGCCATGTGACAAGGCTGGGTGAAGGGAAGGGGACTTGTTATGTGTGGTAGGCTACTGGAGGTTTAGACCCGAGAGGCACATCATGGGACTAAATTCTCATCACCCTGGTTGCTGTGTGATCATGGATCATCCAGCTAGCAAGCTACTGCAGGAGCCAGATGGAAATGTCTCGTGACCTGCACGAGCTTGAGAAAGGACAAAAGACAAAGATGCAAAAACGCTGGAATCGGGTGGGCTGGGTGCTCTGGTGGAGACACACAATAGCCTCGACCACCTCCAGTGAGTTTATTTTATACAGCCACAAACACGGAAGTGGAACAGCAAAGCCAGCAGAGCAGCAGTCCTCAGGGCAGCGTGACCTTGTAGTTACTGGGAGCAGGGGGAACCTGCAGTTGCTACTTTCTGCACGTACTGGGCGTGGTGTAAATATCCTTGTTTGTACACAAAGCAGCTGTGCTGCGTTTTGTTCTCGCTCCCTTCTGCAGCTGGGGGCTGTGCCAATCCCAGCCTGCAGATTATTTGACGTGGCTGTGCTCATGTCAAGTTCTCATAGGCTTCTCATACTCCTCTTTCCACAGTGTGGACTGGGGAGAAGATGCGGCAGGTACAGAAAAATGGGCAGAGATCAGCAATGGAAGAATTGGCAGGGCTTAGCGATGGGCTGTGAACCTTCAGAGAGGGGAGAAAAATAGACCTTTACAAATCAAGGCAGGCTAACAGCATATGCTTGTTTCTCTTACAACATCTGGGGGAAGGGGAAAACCATGGAGTGTCACCAGATGATTCTTTCTAAGGTTTTATACTAGTGAAGGGGTTCTTTATCATGGCTTCTGTAGAACTGGGGTTGACTATGTCCCCCAGGGCGATCCGTGATATTGGATTCTCCATGAAAGGAGAAGGAGAAGGGAGCAATCTTTATGACTCAGGAGTTTCTGGGGAAGCAGACCTTGACTAACCATGTTTGGTATACAGACCACTTCACAATGAAGGGAGATGGGGCAGGAGAGCTTGACCATGGAACCTCCAAATAACAGTGGAATTTATCTTAAGGTTTGTCAAGGATTTTGAAGAAATAGAACCAATTGGTGAAGGTGGATTTGGCCAAGTTTTCAAAGCAAAACACAGAATTGATGGAAAGACTTACGTTATTAAACGCGTCAAATATAATAATCTGTAAGTAGTAAATATTTTATTACTTTGAGAAGGTGTGTTGCACTTGTCCTATTCTTTTTTATGTTTCTCTCTTCTTCATTAATATAACATTTACTTCTTTTTGGAAAGTAATGGAAGAAGTTTAATCTTACACATTTCATTTTCTACCCAGAAAAGCTTGGCTTATTCCAAAATGACCTTACTTTACTGTGGTTAGTTCAGTTAAAAATATATAAGTGAGTAAACCATTGATCATCTTTTTGAGAACAGTCCTGGATGCTGAAGGTATAGAATCATTTGGTTTAAGATGACCTTTGAGGTTTTTTCGTCTCGTTTCCTTACTTTGCAGGTGAGGAGCTTGAACTAATTTGCTGAAGGTAAAAGCTACTTTCTGCTACAAAATGCAGTGGCTTAAAAATAGCAATTTACTGTCATCTCTCATGGACCTGTGGGTTGATTGTGCTTAGCTAGGCAGTTGTCACTTGGGGGCTCCCAACATTGCATTCCAGTGTCATCTGAATGCTTGAATGGACTGGATATCCAAGATGGCCAGCCAAGCAGGTGGTTTTGGCTGTGAGCAGGAAACTCAGCTGGGACCCTCAGCCAGAGAACCTCCACATAACCTCTTTATATGGCCTGGGCCTCTCACAACTTCGAGACTGGATTTCAAGAGGATTGTCCCTAGAAAGAGTTAGCCAAGGGACAAGGAGGGAGTGACAAGGTTTCTTTTGACCTAGTCAGAAAGGAAAACACATTAGGCAGGAGGTCTTACATCATACGTTCACTGGTTCACCAGTCTTGTTGGCTGCTCTCTGGCAGTTGTGACTATGTGTAACTTAGCCAGACTGATCCCTCAAAGACTAGAGAAGGAGATGGAATAGGGAAACGGGTTAAGGAAAATGGCACCAGCAGAGGAGAAGCAGACATGGCATTCCAGGAGTCCTTCACTCACTCAGACTGACTTTTTCTCTTGTGGAAAAAGCTTTTCTATTTGAAATGCTCTTCCACCTTCTCAGCATCAAACTAATCAAACTTTGTTTTTCTTAACAGGAATGAAGTACTATTTTTTTCTTTCATTTGATAGCAGTTTTTTAAAATGATAATAATGTTCATAAGGATTCAGTATCTTGGACATTTTGAGTGGGTCATGAATTTTCAACAACATGTTAAAAACCATACCCAGAAATATTAATCTAAAACCGTAAAACGTTTATGTGCTTTGACCCAAGAATAACGTGTCTGGAAATTATTCTAAGAATGTTATCCAAATTGTGGCCATGTACAAAAAAATATCAATCACAGTGCTTTAGTTCTTGACAACACACCTCTGTAAAGCTCCCATAGTATTCGGTGAAGTCTCAGTTTCTCTGCATAAATTATCCCTTGGGTGTATTTTTGTCACATATTGAAAATTCTGAATTAGGTTTTGCATGCTGCCTAGCACTCACTCATGCTGCCTAAATGGAATTTGCTTGCAAATCCAAAGATTTTAATACTGTCTAAACAAAATATAATGTATGATTTAGTTATTGAAAATTAAAGACTGCTACACATGACTTTAAAATTGAATGGTGTTTAGAATTATTTAAATTGCTGCTTTTTCTTTTATGTCAAGAGTAGAACAGCTATGTTTTTTTTTTCTTTTCTATGTGTTCACTGTTTCATTTTGAGTGCTCCTTGCTCCTGTTCTAAAACTTGGCATGGGAACCACAGCGACTGTGTAATAAGGAGGGTGGACAGTTGTCTCCTGTTACTTGAGGTGTTATGTAGTTATCAGAACTGTATTTTAACACATTTGTGTTCCTGTTCCTTTTAACCAGGAAAGCAGAACGTGAAGTACGCGCATTGGCAAAACTTGAGCATGTCAATATCGTTCATTACCATGTTTGTTGGGACGGTTTTGATTATGATCCCAATGAAAGCATGAGTAGTAGTTCCAGGTAGGTTAAAAAAAAATTCTCGTAGACATAATAGGATGAAAAGAAACTGTCCTTTACTTTGTGTGGGCACTGAAGGATGCCATCAGTCATCATATTTGACAGTCACAACCACTTCTGAGGGACATTGTGGTCTCCTGTTCTGCAGACAAGGAGACAGTGAACAGATTTCCCCTTGCTTCTCTCCTCATCCCAAATTCAATTTCAAAAGGCTTTTTTTAAATGTCCTCTGCTGTTTTCACAATCTCAGTTTTAGCTTTCCTGACTTCACACAGTCTTGCTTCAGTGCAGGCTGTAAATACCATCTTGTGAAGAAAATTTTAACATGAAGATGCTTTATCTGAAGGCTCCTTCCTCTGCAGTTGCCAACAATTTTCCATCTTTCTCTGAGGCTCCTAATTGATGTAATGCAGTCAAGGGTGTCTTTGGAACTCAACTACCCCATGTAGAGTGAAAATGACTTGAAGACTGTGAGCTGTGATGAGGACTCCCTGCTTTATCACCCATGTTTTGTTTTAGTTCAGCCTCCACTGAAGGACTGGAGATTCTAAAGGCCATCTGCCTTTGAACTTCACACAGTCTGTCATGGGAACAGTCCTATCACCGAAACCTTGAAGGGACCTTTTCATAGTCCTCCGACTTCTATCTCCTAGCAAGCTATTGTAGGTGCTTCTCTGAGAGCTCCTACATGTATCATCCTTTTAGGTTTGCTTTTCCTTTACTGCTAGCCTATGAGACTATAATCCCCAGAATGACAAGAATTTTCTCATTTCTACTGGCCTGATCAGTGCCTTTCATAAAACAGATGCTTAGTTGACTAATAGTGAATTAAAATGTTTCAAAATTATATAATACTGACACTTGTTTTTTTGCAATTAATACTTCTATTCCTAGCTCCTAGCAAAGGAGATTAAAGATCTTCAGGGCTGGCAGGGTGGCTTGTGTGGTAAAGTGCCTGCCTAGCAAGCATGAGGCCCTGAGTTCAAATCCCAATATCGCTGAGATGGAAGGATCTTCAGTATTAAAGAATGGGAAGGTTTATTCTTTATAAATTAGCTAAGCAAAGTTTATGTGGGATGCTTGGGAACTTATGGTTTTGGTAAATATGGTTTCTTATATTTTGATTTAAATTTATTATATTTAGATTTTGGTTTCAGAAGGAGACAAGGCATTCATTTTAAGATGAACTTATTTTTGTTGCTACTCTTAACATACCGTGAACTTTATATCCAGATCAACAACTAGGTGCCTTTTCATCCAAATGGAATTCTGTGATCAGGGGACATTGGAGCAGTGGATTGAGGAGAGAAGATGTGGCAAATCAGATAAAGCATTGGCTTTGGAATTATTTGAACAAATAACAACAGGCGTGGAGTATATACATTCGAAAGGCTTAATTCATAGAGACCTTAAAGTAAGTAGAAAATGTGCGTTGTGGCTTGACGGACATAATTTAGTGATTTTAAAATCTGTTTTCTCTAGTTTTAGATTTGTGATTGATCGATAGTCATGATAATATCTCTGATCCTCTGAGGTCACAGTGGGTCTAAAACTTGCCCCAAAAGCCATTCTTTGAAATTACTAAGAAGATCTCCAGGGCTGGTGAACTAACCATGAAAATAAGCTGTACTGGAAGTCTCATTCACTTCTGGTCCTAGGTGATGGATAGTCTCACTCCAGCTGTAAACATGAGCAAACTTTCATAGGCTGCATATTTCTGTGCTAATCATTATTGTGGCTGGCATAGTCAGCCTTGCCTCTGTGTCCTTGCCTCTGCGGCTACTCGGCATATTCCACTGTGATTTGGAACCTGGTTCCTGATCTCTCAGTCCGTGCTCCGAGAGCAGTCACAGCTGTTGGGTCCAGGGCCTAATATTTTCTTGGTCAGAATTTTCAGCCCTATGATTGGAAAGCTGCAATATCCCAAACTTGGAGCATGGGTCATCCCTTGGTACTTTTGCTTTCTTGTAGCTTTTGGAATCAGAACAAGCAGTTTCCCATTTCCCCTTCTTATCAAAATAAAAACAGAGAAGCAGAACAGCTTTTCGTAGTCTCTTGGTTCTCACAGATACACTTCTGTGTACCTCTTTTGGTCCTAACATATATATTTATTTATTTATATTGGTGGGACTGAGTTTGAGTGCAGGGGCTTTGTGCTTGCAAAGTGGGTGCTCTACCACTTGAGCCACACCTCCAGTCCATTTTTGCTTTGGTTATTTTGGAGCTGGGGTTCTCATGAACTATTTGCCTGGGCTGGCCTCGACTGCAGTCCTCCTGATCTCAGCCTCCCATCACCCACCTCTGGTCCAATGCTTTTATTTAGCCTTTCCTGATCACTTGGTTTCTGCCTTTTTCTGGTCCAGGCAGAAGCACTATGTCTATGTGGATCTACTTACCCCACCTGTTTAAAACATCCAGCAATAAGGAATGAAGCAAAGACATTTCTGAGAAAAAATAAGTGCCCTTGTATACAGCTGTTTGTTGAACCTAGCCAGGATTAAGTGGCCCTAAAAAGTATTGCTTCTTTGGTCTGTTCTTGGGCTGGATGTTTAATACCTTGTTATTTGAGTCCACCTGACTCTAATAGTTCTCTCTAACAATATATGAAAGTATTCTTAGAAGTTAGAACATTAGGATAAATTTGGGCCAAGCTTGGTGGTATATGCCTGTAATCCCAGCTTTCAGAGGCTGAGGCAGGAGGATTGCAACTTTGAAGTCCAGCCTCGGTTACAGAACAAGATCCTGTCTCAATAAATAAATAAATAAATTTACTAGTCTGGCTATACCTTCACTTAGGGGTCATATGGATAGTTGAATAAACAATTAAGCACAGTTATTTATTAATTGATTCATCTGCAAATAAATAGCAAAGTTTGGGGGTATTACTTCAGTCCCTCCTCATAAAAGGAGTCCTGGCTGGTTCCTCCCTGTTCACCGGCCAATTCTCCTGAGTCCTGCCCTGGCCACACCACAGGAACAATATCAGCCTTCCGTATGTACTTTTGGTATTAGGTTGCAGTATTCTAATCTAATTGCTAATTTCTGCACAAGGCTTCTCAGGGTTTCTCTGTGCTCCTTGTGTCTTCGCACCTGGTTCCTTCACTAGGCCCTCTCATCAGTGTCATCCCAAAGGGTCTTTGTGTATAGAGCCCATCATTGTTTTCAAAGTCTAACCAAGAATGTTGAAATGTTCATTTCTTCTTCAACAAACCTTCCTGTTTACATGCTTTTTAGAATATGGGTCAATGTCTTCTACAAAGCTGTATGGTAAGGATGGCCAGCCAGGCACTGGTGGCTGACTTCTGTAATCCTTGCTACCCAGGAAGCAGAGATCAGGAGGATCACAGTTCGAAGCCAGTCTGGGCAAATGGTTTGAGACCCTATCTCAACCCCATCACAAAAAAAGAGCTAGTGGAGTGGTTCAGGTGGTAAAGCACCTGCCTAGCAAGTGTGAAGCCCTGAGTTCAAACCCCAGTGTTGCCAAAAACATAAAAAATAATAATGGCTAGCTTTTATTCTGTTTTTCCTTTTTAATTTTTTTTCTTAAATAATTGCATAGAAAAGTGTGTTGTGCTAGTTATCAGTTTCCAGATAACTTTGCATGCTGTCCACATGGAGGGCACATATTTGCTGAAAAGTGAGAGAGGCCTTTTGAAGTTCTACATCAGATGTTCCACAGCATTGCTAGGAATGGATCCCAAAATTGCAAGGGATCTTAAAGGTGTCTGCTTCAATTCCCATCAGGTCCTGAAGCCAGAGTTGCAACATCTCAAGTACACAGCCAGTCCCAGTCTGGGATGGGGAACTGAAACTCCCATTCTTTGGACCATTCAAGTAGTACATTAGAATACATTAAAGCTATGTCCAGCCTCTTACCTTGGATCCATCCCCTAGGACCCTGCAAAGTGAATCTGCTTTTCACTTGACATCTGTTGAGATATGTGGAGGCAGCTGTAACGCAGGTCACCTTCCTCCAGACCTATAGTATTAAGCTTCCTGTTTGGGGATACCTGTGTGAGGGTGAATGAATGGTGTACAAGTAAACATAAAAGTAGCCTTTGCCAAGATGATTGGGGGATGTAGTAACAGCCTGTCCAACTTGTACATATAAAGTCCTTTTTTTCCACAGCCAAGTAACATATTTTTAGTAAATGCAAAACAAATAAAGATTGGTGACTTTGGACTTGTTACATCCCTGAAAAATGATGAAAAGCGAACAACTAATAAGGGAACAAGGCGATACATGAGTCCAGAACAGGTAAGAAGTTCCCTTTCCTGTCTGTCTCTCTCTATTGTGATCTTTAATTTTTTTTTAATTTGAAAATAGTAGACTTTCTTGCAAAATTAAAGCATTACAGAATGACACACAGTAAGACTTGAAAATGCCTCTCAACCTTTCTCTCCAGTCCTACTCTTCTCACCAGTTTGTTCTTCACCCTTTTAGATCATTTTCTATGAGTCATAAAAATATGCAAACACACACATACTTCTCTTACACAAACATTTGCATGTATATTTACATGCAACATTTACAAGGCTACTATATTTTGCAAGTTGATTTTTTTTCACTCAATATATTTTAATCTTTGCATGGCAGTACAAATGGGCCTTATAATGTTCTTTTTAAGCAAATACTGTATTACAAGGGATAGAGATCATAATTTAACTACTTATTTATTGAAGGGTATTTATTTATTCTCCAACTTTGTATGTTTATAGACATGTTCCATGTTCCGTATCTCTGGGTCCAAGGACAAATACGATTTTGCAGTTTCCCCTCATTATCCATGGTTTCAGGATATGCGCCTCCCCATGGATGTCAAAATTCACAGATGCTCAGATCTCTTCTATAAAGCAATACAGTATTTGCATGCAACCTATGCACGTCCTTCTGTGTATTTTAAATCACCTAATACGATAAAAATGCTGTGAATATAGCTGTTACTATATAGATATATGGAGGCTGAGACTGTGTTTCACTGTATAACCCAGACTGGCCTTGAACTCAGCTGGCCTCAGCCTACCTAGTGCTGTGATTACAGATGTGCACCATATTGCCAGGCTTGTGATAATATATTGTTTAGGGAGTAATGTCTAAATAATAGGAAAAAAAACTCTGTATATGTTCAATACAGGTGCAATTTTTTTTTTCAAAATTGATTGGTAGTTGGTTGAATCTACAGGGGCAGAAACCACAGATAGAGGTAGTGGGCCACCTGTATTTTTATGATACTCTATGATGGATTGCTTGAAGTGAAATGATTGAACAGAGTGAAAAGTGCATTGCCACTATGATTAATGCTGCCAAATTGTCCTTCAGAAAGTAATTTTAGCCAGGCACCAGTGATTCACACCTATAATCCTAGCTACTAGGAGGTGAAAATTGGGAGGATTGTGGTTCGAGGCCAGCCAGGTAAAAAGTTCATGAGACCCCATCTCAACAGAAAAATGCCAGGCTTGGTGGTGCGTGCTTATCATTCTAGCTCTGGAGGGAAGCATAGATAGGAGACTTGGCAGGGCGAGGATGGGAAATCAAGACCCTATCTCCAAAATAACCAGAGTTGTGGCTCAAGTGGTAGAGTGCCTGCCTAGCAAGTGCAAAGCCCTGAGTTCAAGCCCCAGCACTGCCAAAAAAGTGCTTTTTAATAATAATCTCCTACTAAAGTGTACAAGAATGCTGCAGTCTCCCACTTCCAATCAAACTAGGATATAATCGGTCTTTGGTTTGGGACAATGTGATGCATGAGGAGTGTTTTGCTATTTTTGTTTGCATCTTCTTTGGTTTAACTTGAATTCATTTTTTTATATGTGTGTGGAAGGGCTATAACCTGATTTTCCCTATGTGAAGTTACAATGACGTCATCTTCATATATCAAATGATTCATGATTTAAAATGCTATCTTAAGGAAATTCATGGAGATAGAAAATAGAACAGAGGTCACCCGGAAGGAGGAAGGAATAGGCGATTTAGTTGTTTACTAGGTGCAGTTTCTGTCTGGGATGATGAAAAGTTCTAGAAATAGATAGTTGTGATGGTTATATGACTTTGTGAAGGTTTTTGACACCACTGAATTATTCACTTAAAAACGGTTAGAGTGGTAAATGTTATGTTATATTTTACCATGATTTCTAAAATGCTGTTTTATTGTGTATGAAATTCCCACACAGTCATGAATCTGCCTCTGGACTCTGTTCCATTGATTTACTTTGTTTTTCTCTTTAATAGTATACTGTTTAATTATTGACGCGTTATGAAATAGGTGTTAGTGTGAACAGCAGGACCCCCTGTTCGTTGTTCTACAGTTTATAAACGTCCTCAGCTGTTCACATTCCAGATGAACTTTAGAGTCATTGCCACGCTCTGTGACTGGTGTTGAGGTTTTCATAGCTATTGCATTGAATTTGAGAACTGACATCTTAGGTACTTGATACTTCTTCAGGAAATCAGAGTGTTTCTCCTACTTACTCAGTCCTCCTTTTCCACACTCTGCTGTGGTAACAAATGACCCCTGGTTTCCTAGTGCCAAATAAAATGTCAAAGATTTATTTCTCGCTCTCATGATACACTGGCATGAGTACACCTGCAGGTCTTGCTCCACGTGTCTCCTGCGTGCCAAGGCCCAGGCTGAAGGAAAGGTTGGTACCGGGCATGGCTGCCTTCCTGGCAGAAGCAATGGCAGGACCTGGTGGTGGCTCTCACAGGTTTTGCTCAGCAGTGCTACACATGGGCCACTAAGCACATTGCCCAGTTCCAGGCCACTGGGCCGTGGGGGGAAGACTTCTCACAGGGAGGCCAGTGCATAAATGGGAGCAGCAGTACAACCCACCCAAATGCTGACTTTATATTCCTCAGTGATCTTAAAACATTTTAAAATGGTGATCATTCAGATCTTTAAAGTTTGTCTCTGACACACACACACACACACACACACACACTGTTTTGCTATTAAAATGGAATTCCTTATATCTAATGGGTTATTAGCGAGGTCTCTCAAATATATTTATTTATTTTTAGTTGTGGAAAAATACACACAGCATAAAAATTACTATCTTAATGACTTTAAGTAATTATTTCAGTAGCATTAAGTGCATTCACACTGCTAGGCTTCGGCACCACCACGGAACCCTTCAGTTTGCAAAACTGAAACTTTACCTATTTAACGAGCCCCTTTGCAGGTGCTGGGGATGTAGTTCAGCAGTAGAGTGCTTCCCTAGAGTGCATGAGGCTCTGAGTTCAATCCTTGGCTTCAAAAAAAGAATCCATTTTCTCTCCTTCTCCAAGTCCCTCACAACCACCATTCTATTTTTTGTCTCTACAAATCTGACTATGCCATGTTTCTCATATAAGTGGTACCATGTAGTATTTGTCTCTTTGTGACTGAGTTATTTCATTAAGTTTAATGTCCTTGAGGCTTACCCAGGCTGTAGCATGTGTCAGTTTCTTCTCTTTTTAGGGCTAAATAATATTCCGTTATGTGTGTACCACATTTTGTTTAGCCGTTCATCCTTCAGTAAACACTTGGGTTGCTGCCATCTTGGCTGTTGTGAATAATGCTTACTAACATGGTTGAACAGCTATTGATACCTGGATATTTTATCTTATACATAGGCTTATTATCCCAACAGGTTTTTAAAAAATTGCTTCTTGTCTATTTTCATCTTTGGGATTGTTCACTTTATTTTCATTTTGGTTTTGAAATGCCCTTTTAAGATGGTTTTTCTGATAATAAATCTTCAAAACACCCCTACTATTCTGTAATCTAAGAGTAAACACACTGGACTATCTGACGGCTTTAGAGTGTAGCATGGAGAGAGCTTTCACCTTGTCCTTTTAGACACCATGTGGCATAAGAATATGATTTAACTTTGTGGAGTGTGAAAGTAGGACATAAAAGGAAGCTGATGGCTGGCTCAAATCCAACCTTATGAAATAGCTGCTGCATCCTGTATTGTCACCCTCAGAATATTAAAAAATCACTCATTGTTTCCTTTTCATAGGTAAGTTTTAAATTTAAATACATTTGCTTGAGAAATAATTTAAATGCTGTAAAATGCACATAATCTTAAATACAGCTGCATTGGTTTTGACAAATGCACATACCTGTCAAACATACATGAAGATGTGGAACATTTTTCTTACCCAAAGAAATGATCTTAAGGCCCTTCTCCAGTCAATTCTTCCTTCTTACTTCCCAAAGGTAATGAGGGCTGGCTTTAATTTGTATCATCATACTTCAGTTTTTCTGTTCTTGAACTCCATATGAATAGAATCATACAGTATGGGGGGAGCAGTACTAGGGTTTGAACTCAGAGCTTCCCGCTTGCAGGCGCTGTACCACTTGAGCTACTCCCGCAGCCCTGTTTTAGTTTTTTCATTCAAAGTAATATCTGTTGGAGAACCTTTAGTTGCTGCCATAGCAGCTCTGAATTCCTTTTCCTTTCTCAGTAGTATCCCCTTGTCTGACCATACCGCAGTATGTTTCTCCAGTCTCCTGTTGATGCACAGTTGGATTATTTGTATTTACATTGCATTTACATTATTTGTATTTACATTACATGCAAGCCACTTGCTTGGCCAAAGTTTAATTGATTTACCTCTGCTGTGTCTTATTTAACCTCACAATCAAACTCTGAGGTCAACACTATTAGTAGTCCCATTTTAAAGTTGGCATTATTCTCATGTTAGTGGTTAATTTACACAAGTGATTCTGTTACTCAGTGATAAATATTTGGATCTGGCTAATCAGACTCCACAAATCTTGCTAATGAACAGACATTTTTTGTGCCATATAAGATTTGTAGTTAAATAACTTTTTGGCTTTAGAAAGCATAGCTATTTTTATGAGGTGAGTAACAAAGGCAATATTTTGATCTTTTTAGATTTCGTTAGAAGAATATGGAAAAGAAGTGGATATCTTTGCTTTGGGGCTAATTCTTGCTGAACTTCTCCACATATGTTCCACTTTTTCAGAAACAGTGAAGGTAAATAATCTCAAAGGAAGAATTAAGCAAACAAAAATTATTGGTCACCTTCCAAGTACTACTGTAGACAGTCACTGCCCTCCTGTGAGGGTGGGCTTGAACATACTAGTGTCTGATTGCAGGTAAAATATAAATTTTCTCCCTTTCAAGTTTTGACAACCAGTTTGTTCCAGACCAAAAACTTTGACCTTCTTTGGAAGACATGTATGTGTCATAAGAGCCCTACTTGAGTCTATCAGCAAAGTTTCATTGACCGCCAGGGAGTTTACTTCTTAAGAGGAAAGCTAATATCAGAGGATGCTTAAGCATTTGCAGAGAAGGCTTAAAGTTTGAAGACACAGCTGGGAGGGAGTTCTTTCTAGCATGGGGGTTTAGGTTTCTTGGAGCCATGTAAGTTGTATTCTGGAGTTGTTCTAATAGCTCAAAATAGAAAGTGGGCGATCCCAGTGTGGAGATAGGTGCAATGTAGTTTTATTGTAGTGCATAAATGACAAGGAAGTGGTGATTGATGAGGCTGGAAAGACAGATTGGGAGAAGAGTGTGGACTTTTTTGGGTAGTCAGTGGGAAGCATTAAAGACAGTAGGCAACTGGATATTCTGTTTGAAACTCAGGAGAAGGACTTGCCTGTTGCCAACAGCCATCTCTTCTGTGCAACAGGGACAGTGAAAGTAACTATCAGATGAGGTTCCAAAAACGAAGAGGGATAATGACCATGATGCCTTTGACACTTTAAAAACCAAATGTTAAGGATGATTATTTGATGGGAAATTCAGTGGGAAGGGGTGAGGGAGGAGGAAATTCCTGCTTGTTTCTTGGCTAAAGAGACTTTCCCAAAGATCTGGAAATATACTAGATTTAGGGTCTCCTCAGCCTTTAGAATGTTCTGTTTATTTTTCCTTCCAAGTAAATAATTTCCTAATAAATGAATACATACATTTTTATTTTCAGATTTTTGATGATCTAAGGAAAGGCATCTTCCCTGATGTGTTTGACAGCAAAGAAGTAAGCACTTGAAAATAATCAGAATTTTATTTATTCCAATGTTCAGTTTCTTAGTGTTGACTCTCACTGTGATTACAGAAAAGTCTTCTACAGAAATTACTTTCAAAGGAGCCCAAGGAACGGCCTGATACGTCTGCAATACTGAAGACTTTGGCTGAGTGGAAGAACACCTCAGAGAAAAGGGAAAGAAACACATGTTAGGCCCTTCTGAAATTGTCCTGCATGTGAAATGTGATTTTCCTTTGATTATCTGAAATCTGCCAAGAGAGATTGACAGTTACTTATCTTTTTGGGGGCAACACTGGGGTTTGAACTTTGGGCTTCACACTTTCTAGGCAGGCATTCTTACCACTTGAGCCACTGTACCAGCCCTCTTTTGTGCTGGGTTTCTTGGAGGTAGGGTGTTGAGAACTATTTTCTGGGGCTGACTTCAACCCGCAATCCACCTGGTTTCTGCCCCCTGAATAGCTAGGATTATAGGTGTGAGCCACAGGCAAACAGCTGGTTGTCTTTTATTTTCATTTCTTATTTTTCATCTTTTTATTTAGGTTTTTTTTTTTTTTTTGCTACATATGCGAGGCTGACCTGGAACTCTTAATCTGTCTGCGCCTCAGCCACCCAACTGCTGGGATTAACGCCACTGTGCCTGGCTTCATCTTTTTATTTTGAAGATGTGTAAAAGCTCTCAAATGTCCTTCCTTATAACAATCAATGAATTGATCAATTAATCTATATTGATATTAAGTGGCTTCTGTTTCTAGGCCTACAAACCAACTGAACAAACATGGTGTCCATAAAAAGACAAGTGATACAATCATTTTGAAAAGCAACGTGGCATGATCTAGTAAAGCTGAAGCTGTACATACCTTCAAAGCCATCCACTCCATTCCGTCATACTTGCCTGTAAGGATGCTCATGGACCCCAGTACTGACAAAAAAGGGAGAATGCTCATGGAAACTGTTTATTAGAGCTAAAACAGCTGGAAACAGCCATAATGCCCATCCAGAAGGAGTAGATAAAAATATATTCACATATTGGAGTACTATAAAGCACTGGAAATAATTACATTTCCAGTAATTACATTTAAATGCAGTAACATAACACAACGTATCTCTCAGCAACATAATGTTAGGGGAACAAAGCAGGTTTTTAATATATACATAATGATTCCAATTACACGAAGTTCTTGACTATGCAAAACTAAATCATTAGGAATCCCAAGAAATGTGGTGAAACAATAAAGGGAAAGAAGAGAGTAAGAAGTCTTAAATTCTGGGCTGTGGTTTTCTCAGAGGCAACTTTGTTACAGTGGATGTTACTACTGCTTGCTGTGTGGTTATTCCTTTTATCTTAATACATTTTGTATCTGTTACAGCAAAGTCTTTGAAGAAAAGATAACTGATGTAAGGCAGTAGCTAAGAATAGGAAGTATTCCATGTGGAGGGGCAGGATCACTTTCTACTGAGCATGGAGGGGCTTGGAAGTGATGTTTCCCTGAGACTCCAAGCATGTGAGGGGTTTGGATGAATAGAGAAGAGGCCACATGAGCAGCTGGCCCAGGGGCACACATGAATTCTGGAGAAGATACATTTGTGGAGCATTGGGTGTGCTAGTTTGTTGCCCCAACTGCTACAGGAAATGCTGGAAAAACAATTTGGATTGCATCTTGGAAGATGCGGTGGGTTAATTTAAACTTTGGAGCAACCAGCTACCATTTTAAAACTGCCATGTAACTTTATAGTTTTAAAAGTGAGCCAAATTTAGGTTAAGTAGAAAATGAGGACCATCACAGTAAGAGAACATACTTTTATAAAGGCTTATAGCTATTTTAAAAAAAGTATTCAAAAAAAGCAGTAATATGTTTTGCAAATCCAGATGCAGTATTTGATTAAGGCAAAGTTTTCTAGTAGATGCTAAAATTATTGGGTGAAAAGGTGTTGGGGAACAGAATATTCACAAGGATTTAAGTATCATCTGATGGAAGACATGTTGCAAAAGGCAAATGTACATTTCCAAGGGAGAGAGGTATGGTCATCACAATAATAAAGTGATTCAATCTAGCATCACCCAAGGTAGAACAAGCTAGTATTATGAACTTCCAATGTGATGCAAGAATTAAACAAAATCACCTAGTTTTCTTGCCCAAAGGGTCTGAATGGAATTTAGTCATGAGGAAATTATTAGACAAATCCCAAATGCAGTCATTCTGTAAGATAGTTGTGTCTTCTTAAAAAAGTCAGTGTGATGAAAGAAAGCAGTGGAACTTTTCTAAATAAAGAGACAAAAGAAATATAATGAAAAAATTCAATGCTTCAATCTTTATTGTTTCCTGGATATTGAAAAAGAAAAAAGCAAACAGCTATAAAAGACACTTGGGGACACTTGTGGACTTTTGAATACAGACTGCATATTACACAACTATAGAATAACTTAATTTTCTCAGTTGTGAAAATGGTATTAGCAAGCAAAACATGTCATTCTTAGGCAATGCATGCAGCAATATTTAGGGGTAGTGTGTCATGATGTCTGCAATTTTCAAATGTTCAGCAAGAATCAATGGACATATGAGAGGGAAAGAGAGAACACATTGTGATAAAATGTGTTAACCACTGGACAACTGGCAATACAGGTGAGGGCATACAGGTGTTCCTTCTATCATTCTTTACATTTTTGAGTGGAGAGAAATCTTTTTAAAAAACCTATTATTACCTGTTTTTGATGAATGATGCTGTGCTTAGAAGGAAAACTAAATAATGTGGCCAATGATTGTAATCTTTTAACCTTTCCTTATTGTGATTATTTCCACTTATGAAATAAACACTGCATCTCTTAATAGCTTTTATTTACTTGTGAGTATACATCTTCTCAGTCTCAAAAATAGTAAATAAAGAATTTTTTTTAATCAGAGTAGGAGAGGAGCCTGAGCCATGGACCTTATTTGCTAATTAAAAGGCAGGCACACAGTTTTGAGAGCCATTTTGATTTAGTTGCTTCACTAGAAACAGACCTAGGAAATTTTTATCACTGAACACACTTATTATTTATATCAGATACACATATTTAACCTAAACATATACAACATGTACACACTTAGCACACATTATTTGTTAACCCTATTAGCATATATACATGCACACAAGTATAAACGTGTTGTATGTGTGTATGCCTAGTTGTGTGATGTGTGGGACCCACTGCAAAGTTAAAAAATGCAAGATCCTATTAACAAGTGAAATGTGGACACTTCAAAGCACAGTCTTGTGTCACTGCCCAGACTGCATGTCCACAGACCCAGCCCTGTGTGAGCACAGATGTGTGAGTCTGTGAAGAAATGTTTAAAAATCTGAAGTTTTTCCAAGCAGACTTGGAAGGCACGTAAACTTAAAATATTCATTCCTTACTTGGGTGTTCACCATAACTTGAGGTCTTTTGGTATGTCAACTTTTCATTATGAAATACTACATAATTTCAATAATACTCATAAGCTTTATGGTTTTTAAACATATCAAAAATAGACTAATGAAACCCTATGTGCTTACTACCAGCTTTAACAAATACTGATATTTTGCCTTTCTTGTTACATCTTTTCCCTTTTTGTTTCTTTGGCTAGAATATTTTAAAGCAAATCTCAGATATTATAGCATTTCACTTGTAAGTACTTAAATATGGATCTTTTACATACAAGGTGTTTTCAGCTTTTTAAAAAACCACAATATCATTGTCACACTCAACAAAATTAACAAGATTTAATTATCATACAATTGGCCTGGATTCAATTTTCCTAACTCAGAAATTCCTTTTTATCAGGTTACATTACATTTGGTTGATGTGTCTCTTTCACACTAGGGCATTTGCTCCTATCTTTTCTTTCCTCTTGCCATTTGAGGAAGGAACTGGTCATCTGTCCTGTGGAATTTCCTCCATCCAGGATGTGACTGATGGTGCCTCCTGGTGTCTAGTTACAGTTAAAAATTGATGTGATTCTGGTTTGGCTTTCCCAAGAGTGATGCTGTATTCCCTACGTAATTATTTTTTCTTTACATCAAGCGGAACATGATGTCATGTTGCTCTATTTTCAGTGATTTTAAGATTGACCACTGAGTGCTGGTGGTGGTACAATCCACTATAAGCTTCCCATCAATTTTCTGATTCTACCATTTTCCCATCCCTACCATCTATGTTCTTCTATAAAGAAATTTCTCTAAAACTGAAGGGGAAATGTGGGATAAACATTTGCTTTATGAGTTTTAGAATGAATTAGTGCCTAGCAACCACCAAAGGTGATAAATGACTATTTTTTCAAGCAGGAGGTAGCCCAACAAGTACTTTGAAACTGTGTATCTAGAGTAGGTTTAAAGGTCAGAAAACTGGAAGACTAAGAACACCACCAGGGGATTAAGCAAAAGGTATGCATAAAAGATTACTTCCAGGTTTGTTTGAAGATGAGTAGAATTCTGACACCACTAAAGAAATACAGGTCTAAATCAGATTAATCCCAAAGAGCCACATGTATTTGAGAGGTATTTTATTGTCTTACGTTTTTATCTATTGCAGGTTTTAGTAATTTAGAATTTCAAACAGAGCCACGTGCAGATGGTTCATGCCTCTAACCCTGGCTACTCAGGTGGCAGGCACCAGGAGGATCCCAGTTTGAAGCCAGCCCAGGTAAACAGATTGTGAGAGCCTATCTTGAAAAAAACCATCACAAAAAAGGGCTGGTGAGGTGGCTCAAGGCATAGGCTCTGAGTTCAAACCTCAGTACTGAAAAAAAAAGAAAACAGTTACTCACCATTTTCTCCCAATTCTAGGCAACCACTAATCTTTCTCTAATTTGCTGATTCTGGCATTTAATATAAATGGAATCATACATGTGATCTTTCTCATTTAATATTATATTTTCAAGTTTCATCCATGTTGTAACATGAATCAGCAATTCATTCCTTTTTGTTACCAAATAATAGTCTACTGTATGGATAGGTCACATTTTATGTATCTATTCATCAGTTAATAAACAGCTGGGTTGTTTCCATTTATTACCACAAACATCTGTGTACAGATGTACATGGACATGTTTCATTTCTTGTGGATGTATACCTAGTAGAATTGCTGGGTTATATAGTAAATGCCTTCCCTCAGTGTATCAAAGTTTGTGTATCAAAGTTATATCCATCTTTCAGAACCCAAATTCAGTATTATTTCCATAGTGTCCCACCATTCTCCACTCAAAATCAATCTTCCTTGTTCTCCCATTGTTTAGTATTGTGTTGTGCTCATTGGTTTACTTTAAAGCTTGGTCACTCCTGCATGACTGTGTTCTTGTGATACTGTGAAGTTCTGGAGAACATGGGCAGGCTCTGTCATTGCTGTATAACCTAGGGTCCACTGCCCTGCAGAAAGCAGGAACTCTATAAGTGCTTGGTGGGGAATAACAGTTTGGGAGTTTCATATGCACGATCCTACAAAAGGTATCTGATATTAAGTAATAATGTTCACTTTTACA